GGGCGCGGCGCGGTCTCCTTTGGGAAGCCGCCGCCACGCGAAGAACAACCCCGAGACACAGGCCCTGCGCCGTGGGATTACGACACGACTGCGGCGCCTGCAGCGGCAGCAAAGGCAGGCGCCATCATCACCGGACGACCAAAGACGCCACGCAAACTCGAAACGCCTGGGCCGCAGTATGCGCCCGACCCAACACAAACGCGCGTAGGCCCCTCCTTCACGTTTACAGGTCGTGGGTGGAACGAGCAGAAAGTTGAGGGTCCGGGTCCGGCCAAATACAGCGCTGCAGACATCGAGGCAGAGAAGGCGAAGAAATCCATGGCGGGACCGCGTATCCTTGGGCGCCCCAAGGAAAAACCACCGTCAGACGTATGTGCACCCGAGTGCCACGTGTGTGAGTGTCTATCTGAGCATGATATGTGTATGTGTGTGTGATGTGACATGTGCTGTGCTGTGATGTGATGTGATGTGATGTGATGTGATGTGTGTGTGTGTTGAAATGACGTTGCGTGAATCTGCGTGGTTCTGCTGAAATGCCAGTTGAGGCACAAATTCGCGCGCGTTGCTACACAGTGGACACCCACGACATCGAATGCGACCCAAGCCTGCACACCCTTCGTCCTCCTCCTCATCATCTTCATCGCTTGGCTCTTTCTGAAGCTTGAACGTGTTGCACACGCTTGTGGTGTGTGTGTGTGTGTGTGTGTGTGTGTGTGTGTGTGTGTGTGTGTGTGTGTGTGTGTGTGTGTGTGTGTGTGTGTGTGTGTGTGTGTGCTGTCGTTCTTCAGCTCGAGATAATTTATGCATCGTGTCGGTGCTGTCGCAATAGCAATCAAATGACTTGGCACAATAACAAATTACTGTCAAACAACTGCAACGTGGTGGTTGTGTGGTGCTGTTCTTGTTCGGGCGGCAACCAACAAAGCAAACGCAGCACTTCACAGTGTGGCAGAGGAGGACGCCAGGCTGGAAGCAAACCAGTGCTGATGAATGGCTTTGCTTCCAACAGTGAGCAGAGATTCGCTCAGCGCCTTGGATGTGTGGGGCAGCATGTCCTGCTTGCTTGCACGCTTTGCCACAAATATCGTTTGCCCCTAGATGAACAAGGCCAGTGCCGATGTGAGATACACGCCATGGGTGGGCAGCGATCCAGCAAGAGCACAGACTTGCACAACAGGCATCCTCACGACATTAACACGAGAAGGGAAACAGGAAGAAAGCAGGACAGACGGGGAGGGACACACAGAGACACAAAGACACACACGCACACACAAAAGACACATGCACACAAACACATGCACACAGACACGCACGTATACAGTCACACACAGTCACACACAGCCACACACGCACACACAGAGACACATACACACAGTCACAGTCACACACGCACCTGCAAGTGAAGGCGTTTCGCCTGTGCAGCACGAGTAACGTCGTGGAGCAGGTGGAAAAAGCAATAAGCCGTGCCCACGTTTTCCTCGCGCTGATCGTCCCAGGGTATCACAACCTTGAACTGCAACCAGAATGGACAGCACAGCAAACGGTGAAGGTGTTAGGCACAACAAGATTTCAATTCCAGCGTGGCACAAGCAAAGCGCACGGGGCTGCGGCGGCCATCTCATGTGTGCACATGAAGCGAGATGTTCTGACCGGAGGCTTCAGGTGACGTCGCCGGAACATGGCCACAATGTCTTCTTCCGTCGCCAATCGGGGGACATTGCTACACCCCAAGGCCAAGGCAAGCGCAGCAATTGATGAGGGTGTAAGCAACCAACGAAACACTTGCAAGAAGAAGAAGAAGAAGAAGAAGAAGAAGAACAACAACAACAACAACAACAACACCAATAAACAACGACAAGCGCACCTCAGAACCACCGATCCTGCAGGCCTATGTCTTCTGGAGTTGTGGGGTCGTGGCCTCGCTGTTGCTCTGTTGTGACGGCGCTCTCTATTGTGCACACCATGCCTATCATCATCATCATCGTCGTCGTCGCTGACAACATCGTCAATGTCCGCGTCACTCATTGCACCTGCCAGGAGCCGCACGGTCCGGTTGTGCGAATGCAGCCGTGACGTGTCAACAGATCCCGCGTCGCTCTCCGCATCAGCGTGGCGGTGGTGATGTGGTGGTGAAGAGGCAGCACGACGCCCTACAGCTCGCATGATGTCGTTGTAGTTCAAACCGGCATCGTCATCGATCAGATGCCCTTCGTGCTCCCAAGCCCGCTCATCTGCATGACGATCGTCACCGTCACCGTCATCATCACCACTATCACTGTCCTGGTCATCACCATCACTTGGCGCCTGGTTCCTTCCAGCTGTCCTTCCGCCACGTCGTTCATGTTCGTTGCCCTCCTCCTCCCCCTCCTCTTTGTACCGCAACTCCGTGACCATCCGTCGCAGCTGTGTCGACCGCGTGCTCCGTGGGGTTCGCGTCATCTGCCGAGACAGCACGGCCGAGTCATTGTTGTCATCACCATCACCATCGTCATCATCGTCGTCATCACCATCACCATCGTCATCACCATCATCATCATCATCATCATCATCATCATCACCATCATCATCACCATCATCTTCCTCGTCGTCATCACGGAGGCGGCGAGCACCAGCGGCCCGTGCGCGGTCTCGCAAACGAAGGAGTCGCCGCATGTCAGCATCGAGTCCCTCTGTCGCTGCCGTTGATGCCGTTGTTGTGTCGCAACTTTGCCCGCCTGTGCTCTTCTTCTGGCGCTGCAGCTGCTGTTGTTGCTGCTTGCCGTCGGTTGAGTCATCGCTGTCCACTGGTTCTTGTTTCCGGCCAACTGAGGACGCAACGGCCTCCTTGAGCTCGTGCGCCCGCCGCATGCAGATCTTCACCGCCCGAATCTCCTTCTCCAGCACTGATAAGCAATACAGGGAGACAGACGCAGAGGGAGCAAACAGAAATGCATGCGTGTGCGTGCGTTCATGTGTGTGAGGGTGCGTGCGCACGTGTGAGTGGATGTGTGAGTGGATGCGTGAGTAGGTGACATGTACGGTGGTGAAAGTGAACGGACGCTGGATACACACATCGGCATGGTTCATGCAGCTGTTGACAACCCCCCACACGGACACACGCACCGACACACGCACGGACACACACACGCACACAATACACACACACGCACACGCACACACACACACACACACACACACACACACACACACACACACACACACACACACACACACACACACACACACACACACACACACACGCATGCACAAAGACACCGTACGTGCTCGTCGATGAGGTGAGAGAAGGCGGCCTTAAGCAACGGGAGAGCGTCGTGCATGGATCCAGACGTATCGACAGCCATCCACAGCCGCTGGTTCATGTGTGCACACAGAACACAACACACACATACACATACAGACACAGGTTATCATCGTGCGGCAAATGGGAATGAATATGTTAGGGAGCAGGAAGCACGTGAACACAACATCCACCGCACCAACCTTGCATTGGAAATGTCCAAACACGCGGCGATAGCCATCTGTGAGCCACGCCAGCCTGTGGTGACGAACACCATCGCACGATTGGAGCAGGGCGCCACGTGGGGGACAGCGCAAGCATGTGTGTGTGTGTGTGTGTGTGAGGGATTGAGAGGAAACGGTAAGAGGAAAAGAACATAGCGGTGGTGGCGGTGGTGAAAGAGGTGGTGAGGCAGGAGGATCAAAATAACAAGAACCACCAACATCTCGTTAAGACGCCCACGCACGCACACACAGGCACACACACACACACATTTACAAACATGCATGCATTCACGATGGAGACGTACCGCTGCTCGTAGTGAGTGAGGACGCGTGAGAGTTTGCTCAGGTACTCGCTGAACTCTTGTGGTTTTGCCATCACGTACCTGCAGATCACAAGTCCAGAGCCGGAGGGGGCGGGGGTGTTAGAAAACACAACCACGAGTACACAACAGTGAGCAAAGGGCGGCAGCGGTGACGGTGGTGATTACGATGTCTCTGTGCGTTAACGTGTGCCAATCATGTGCGCGACATTGCTCACCAGCAGGCACCAGCATTCTTCTTGGACTTGATGTTCGTGTGCGTCTTCACCGGGAAGAGCGAGCCAAACTGAAATCGCGCAACGGGTAGTTGACGTGTGAATATCGACAGACGCTCAAGAACTGAAAGAAATCCATGTGGGAGGACAAGCCAACAGATAGAAGACGGGACACTTGCACACCACATGCAACATCGCATCCACCTCCCCCCCACACACCATCGGCGCGGTCTGACCTCTCCCTGAACGTTGCGCGCGAGCGTGGAGACGTGCTGCTCTTCGTGTAGAAGACTGTTGGTGGCCAGGAAGGCGTCCATCGTCAGGCGAAGTTTCTGCAGCCAGCAGACATACACCACCAGCCAACAACAGTGCAAGGGCACATCACACAGAAATATGTATGACACAGAGAAGCAAACACACACAAACACACACACACACACACACACACACACACACACACACACACACACACACACACACACACACACAAGCGCGATGAGTGAGCGCACAGCAAGCCTGAGCCCCGGCGTTATATGTTTCTATTGCTCGCTCAATGCAAGTCATGTCATCCTTGCGGCAGTCCCCACCTTGAGGCTGCACTTTGCGAGCCACTTCTTGGACGTGCACGGCATGTCGACCGGCGCCTTCGCCAGGCCGGGCACAGTGACGTTGTCGCCCGCATCTGCGAATGTCCGCGAGGGCGTGGGTGTTGCGTGGTGTGCATTTGTGGTGAGAAATTGTAAGTGGTGTCAGCAAAGCAGCGTTGCATGTTGCTGCAGCAAGTCAGGCGCACGGATTGAGAGGGAAACAGCAGCAGTTATGCCGCCGCCGCACCTGCTGGGACGGCTGGCCCGCGCTGGGGACCAGTCATCTCCGCAGGGGTGTTGATGAGCATGTACCGCCTGATGGGCAGAACAACCATGCAGTGGGCATGAAGTCCGTAATTCCGATGATGCATTCAAACACACAGAAGTCCTACAAAGGGCACGGCACAGGCAGAACCCCCACTAAGCACAGGCCAACACGAACACTTAGCACACCCACACATTTGTTGATTGGCACACACACACACGCACACACACGCACGCACACACACACACACCTGCTTCGCGCACTGTCAGATGAACTGTGCTGTTTGGCCACTGCCCTCTTCTTTGTGCCCGCGGAGTTGGCGCGTCGACTTGACCCGCAACCAATGCCACTGCTGCTACTGGTGCTGTTTTCCGCGGTGGTGGCTGCAGAGCGATGTCCTCGTGTGTGCGGTGCAGATCGGGCCGTGAATGGGCGCACAGCGTCACCCGCGCCCTTCTCGTTGTTCTTCTTCCGACGCTCCAGCTGCTGCTGTCGCAACTGCGTGCTTCTTGTCAGGGGCACGTGAGCGGGCACACCGTGACGCAGCGTTTTCGCTCTAGCTCGGCCGCCGGCACCACCACCAGCCGCAGTGGACAGCTGTTGTGTGCGTTCGCTTCTGCCCCCGCCTCTATTTGTTCCACCTGTGTTTGGAATAGTGGTGGTGGTCTGTGTTCGTGCTTGTGCCAATCTGCTGTCTTTGCCGGTCTCTGAGCGCATGCCCTCGCTGCGTGCGCTGCCGCCGCCCTCATCCGCACTGCTGCCGGCGCCCCCACGCCCATCGTCATCATCAGCGCTGTTGCGCTGTTCCCTGTCCAGCTGCTGCTGTACTTCCTCCTGTCTCCTCCTCCTCAACTCCTCCGCAATGTGTGCAGGGACGGTCTCTCCCCTCTTCTCTGCGGTCTTGAATGCCGCCAGCGCGTATTCAGCAGGAAGCGCCGTCAGCATCCCGTCCAGCACAGATACGTACTCGTCAGCGCGCGCAATCTGCAGCACAGCAGGAAGGAGGAGGCAAACGCCGGAGGTATGAGATGACAAACGAGAGAGAGAGTGTGTGTGTGTGTGCGTGTACATGTGTGCATGTGTGTATGTGTGTGAGTGTGCATGTGCATGTGCGCGCGCGTTTGGGCGTTTGCTTGCGCAGGTTCTTGCATATGTATGGCGTCAAAGCCAAGTCTCTGAGCAGGGGCTCATCTGCCACTACGCACCTCTTGCTGCAAGAGCAGCGTGTCTGTGCCGCATGACTTACAGACCACCTCCGCAGATCCACTCTCATCCAGTGCATCTTGTCCCAAGCACGCACGTACACACGGAGACGCGAGGGTGAGAGGAGGAACAGCAACAAAGGCAGGGCGAAGGCATTGCACGGCAACAAACCCCAGGAGCGATGAGGTTGCATGTCGTCTCACCGCTGCGAAGGGCATCGTGAAGGGCCGTGCGCGTGCGTTGGTGCATCCACGTGGAGAGAACAGCATATTGCTGTTTCCGTAACGAATCCAGCGACAGCGTTGGCGCTACAAGCACACACACACACACACACACACACACACACACACACACACACACACACACACACACGCATGCGCACGAGTTGTGACGTGTGAGCAGAGTAAATTATTATCGGAGTTTTGAGAGACAAGAGGACGATGGAGGAAGAGTTCATGATTCACGCGCACGTACACATGCGGTGTGCAACTTACGTCCATGCAACTCAGCAATGCTCCCTGGGTTTTGTGTAATGTGTGCATTTCGTGCCTTCTTCCACAGCGCCCGGGATTCAGCACTATCCTTGGTTTTGAATTTGGCGGCAATGGCAGCCACAGCCTGCACGACAGCGCGAGAACACTTTTGAATAAGCACCGCGCGATGTACTCACATGCTCCACTGCACCAAAGACACACACACACACACACACACAGACAAACACACACACACAGACAAACACACACACACAGACAAACACAAGCAGGCACAGGCCCAGCCGAACAAGTGCACCCATCACGGCGACAGCACCTCCTGCGTCGCTGTCCAGGACTTGTCCTGCCTGTGCGCCTCATCAAGCGCTGTTCCTTCCTCATGCACAAACTGGTACCGCCCTAAGATATGCGCACGCGCAAAAAGGTGTCGTGCGCGTGTATGTATGTGGGTCGACGTATGTGTTTGTGGCGCAGTGTATGTAGTATAGTGTGGATGAACATGTCAGCGTCGAAAAAGCAGGCTGTGGCACCTTGTGAAGTGCGGCGACTCATTTCCTCGTCTTCCCCATTCCCTGCTTCTCAACTAGCTTCCGTTCTTGCCACGATAACGAGGGCAGCAAACAGCATGAGCATGGCTCACCTCCACCGGCCTCGGCCAGCTGTTGGTGCAGCTCGCGAGTGCGTTCAACGTGGTGTGCATTGTACGAGAGCATGTGCATGTGCGTGTGTCCTTCAGCCAGGATTTCTCTGCGAGCGCACGTGCAAATCAGGCAGCAGCGCGATACCATTGCTCGTTAACAACATTGATTGGCATGTACATACACGGGGACGTGAACAGGAATACAGATTGTCAGAGGTACACATAATACACAAAGGCAAACGCACACACAGACACAGCCACAGACACAGACACAGACACACACACACACACACACACACACACACGCACACGCACGCACATAACAGCGCACCGAATGTAAGCGATGGTCGGTTCAGACTTTTGCGAATTGCCAGACGCAGTCACCCAATAAATGCCTGTTGGGGGAGAGAGGAAAGCGTACAAACGAAAGAGTATGAGCAGAACAACCCTTGATCAGAGTTGATCGCCCGCTATGGCCCACATCAACAAGAGTGCATCAGCACAGCGCAATCCGGTCAGCATGGAGGGGGGAATGGAGGGCATGTCAACACTACCATGCTCGGTGCCGTGGCGCTGTGGCCTGAGGTTATCGATGGCGGCTTTTGCTGCGTCGTAGATGTTGTTGGCCTTTGAATCCTGCCAGTGTAAGCGTAAAGGCAACGTGCACACGTAACGCGCGTCATCAGTAGAGCCATGGCAGAGGCGCGGAGAGGAGCATGCTGCTGTCGCGTTAAGAACGTCTATGTGGCACACGCTCACACACAACCATTCAAGCGCACCTCAATGTCAAAGTACTTGATCCATTCCCATGCGTGTCGGATGGACGATTTGGAGGCGGGGACGACGTCTGGGCTGAACTTGTGTGCATGTGCACCATACAACACGACGTTGAAGTGGGAGCGATGCACAACCTGTTCCTGCAGTGCTGCCTTGATGTGTGCAAGCAACAGCGGCCATGACTTTTGCGTCTTTGCATTCGCCTCCACCACGATGGTGACAACCGACTCTTGCATGGATGGAAACAGCCGGCGCGACCCTGAAAAAGCACACGCGCGCACGCACACACACACACACACACACACACACACACACACACACACACACACACACACACACACAATCATGTGAGACACAAGCAACACGTGTCGCAGGCAATACAATATGATCACCCAAACAGCTCATTGAACACTCAAGTGTACCCGCCCTTGGCATCTTGCGCCAAGGGCCAGTGGCTCGCACCTGTTCCGAGCCAGTTGAGGCGACGGGTGTAGAGGTCTTTGGCAACAGCGATTTGGCGGCGAAGAATCAGCACGCGCGCCGGATCAATGTGCACCGTTCGCTCGGCGCCGTCTGTCCACATCACCTGCAGCCAAGCAGCGAAGGGGAGGGGGCACACGTGGCAGAAGAAGTGTGAGGGTGTTGCAGTGATCACGAAGACAGGCATGTGTGTGCATGTGTATGTATATGTGAGTGTGAGTGTGTGTGTGTGTGTGTGAGTGTATGTGTGTGTATGTGTGTACGTGTGTGCATGAGTGTGTGTGTGCGTGGCTGTTCTGAAGACGTGTGGCTGGATGTGTACCTTGCACATGGTCTTGTACTCTCGTCCAATATAGAGGCCAGGCTTTGAACACGTGTAAGCCACATCCGCAAACACCTGTTCAATGTTCAGGGACCAAGGGGTGGTGAAGGGACGCTGGCAGCGTGGTTTGCACACACATGTTTACTTACGCCCTTGCACAAGCACAGCACAACACAAGCACGTGTACACACAAACACAGCACAACACATTACATGCTGCGCACCGTGTATGGGGAGAGGCCGCGCACGTCGAGGCCGTACTTGTGCAGCCAGCGCGTGCTGCCGAGGAGATGCGGCGGTACATCGTGTGCCGGAACACGCGAGAGATCGCGCTTGTCGCGTCTGTGGCACGTGGCGGGCAGGTGACACGACGTGAGATGGTGCACGCGCTTGGACGGAGTTGAACTGGTTCTGTGTGCGCGTGCGTGTACGTGTCTTGTACGGGATGACGGTGATGACCTCAGCCAACTGCGCACAGCACAAACACGCAGCACCATCAACACACCCCGACAAGCACAGGTGTGACTACCGTTCATACCTCACGCGTCTGGTGGCGGTCGTTGGCTTGTCATGTGTCCTGTCGCCATCACGTTGCTTCATCCGCAGCCGTGATGACCTTGTATCTCCAACAATCCATCCCTTGTTCGCCCTGCCACCAGCTTCTCGCCTGCGACCACCGCCACCGCCACCACGCCTGGGCTGTGTTCTCTGTTTCGTCTCCCGGCGCCGGTCGTCCTCTGCCAGCTGCTGCACGTGTGCGATCCTCACCGCCTCCTTCAGCGCCGTCTCCACTGCGCGTTCTGTCTTCGTTGCGCGCGTGAGGTGTCGCTGCACCGCCCGCACGTCATCGCTCCACAGCTCCCCGCTCTCCACATTCAGCACGTGCCGCCGCCCCCGCCCAACCTGACAGGTCGTGGTGGTCGTGGTGGTTGCGGTGGTGGTGTTGGTTGTAAGGTGTCAGGAAGTGCGTGTATGTGTGCATGTTCATTTGTGTTGGGATTTATATGTGAGTGTTGAGACTCGCGGAAAAAGTGCAGCCGTGAATCAGCGCGCTGTGTGCAAACAGCGAACTCAATCCTCAACACGGAGCGCGCAGACCACACGGTCACCGCACTTTGGCCAGCTGATGTGCAAGCTGGAGGAGGCGGCGGTTCTGCGCGTGTGTGCACACGACATCGAGGCGGACGTGTTGTCCGGCGCGGGCGAGGGCGCGGCGCACATGATCGAGCACTTGCTCGTCCGATCGGCTGTACAGCGATGAGAGTTGGGTGAGCACAGTACTGGTGACGATGGCGAATCATGAAGCAATGACGATCCACAAAGGGACCGCGTAGGTGAAGAGGAATTCACACACACAGGCACACACACGCGCATACACAGACACGGCCACACATACACATACACACACACAGCCACACATACACACACACACACATACACAGCCACAGACACGACCACACACACAGGCACACACACACACACACACGACCCCAGACAGACACTGTGCAGGAGCAGACCGTGGCGGGGAGCCGAGGATGAGGTGGATGCGGCGCGGGCGCGGGTGGTGGTCGAGGGCGGCATCAACAGCACGACATACGTCAATGCCGTCCTCGCGATAACCGGCGGAGATGCCATGCGGCGACGACGAGCGAGACTGGCGGTGATGACAGGAGGGGCGGGAACAGAAGGTGAGGGTAGTGATGAAAGATGGAGAGATGGTGTTGGTGTCGTGATGTATGGTTGGTGGAGTAATTTTGCCACGCACAACGATGATCAGGCGAGTGTCTCTGTCGTGACGCGAACAGGAAGCGGCACAGCGTCATCCATCACTGCACTTACGCGGATGGTGAGGCCTTTTAGCAGGGAGGAGAACGTCGCAGATTGGTGTGCGCGCGTCTGCGCCGGCGTCAACGAAGCTACGCTCTTGCGAGCTGTGCATAATGTGTGTGTATGTGTGTGTGTGTGTGTGTGTGTGTGTGTGTGTGTGTGTGTGTGTGTGTGTGTGGGCGGTGGAGCATTGATTGTTCATGCGCGTGTGTGTATGTGTTTTGCCATGATGGTCACCGCAGCAGCCGCACTAGCAAGCATAGAGTGACTGAGTGACATTGAGGGTGGTGTCAAGACATGAAGTCCATCAAAACCTCAACAGATTAGCAGCACCTTCTTGGCCGGTGAGGGCTGGCGCGAAAGGGGCCTGCTGCTGCAGCCAATTGAAGACCTGATGTGCACACACGAAACAAGAACGCGCAAACAGCACAGCGTGTTGGTGGTGGGATGGCTCAAGAGCGGGTGCATGTACACATACAGACGGCCGCTGATGTAAACGCAGAAGCAAGGAAGCAAACAGAAACACGCCCAAACAATAGAAAGCAGCACAATAGAAAACAACAAAAAAACACAAAACAAAACAAAACAAAACAAGAGCTGACAGACCTGGTTGAGACTGGATTCCTTTGTGTCGGGCATAAAATGGTGAATGGCGGCAGAGGCGGTTGCGCGAATCCACTGCATGGACGGATGGAGCAGCACTTGGTCCTCAAGCAGCTCCTGTCAAACACGTGGACAAGGCACAAACGCACACGGTCACGCAACAAAATTATCGATTGGATGTGATCCAGCGATTCATATCCAGCAAGCATTCGCATTTGCATGTGTGTGTACGAGAAGCAGGGGGGGGGGCAATGGGTGTGACGCGCTTGGCCAAACACACACACACACACACACACACACACACACACACACACAATCACACACAATCACACAATCACACGCACACAGAGGAGGTCGACGAGGCGCCGCTTGTCGCTGTGATCATCGGCGATAATGATGGCGGTCTGAACACCGGTCAACGCGCCGAAATGTGCGCGGCTGACACGCACGCAACCAACCACACATGCAAGCAGACATGTGCTGTGAGGCTGAGGAAAAGGTCACACAAGATAATAACGCCCAGTGGACACAGGGAACACGAGCCAACACCAACCAACACCAACAGGAGGCACGCACAAGACACCGCGTCACGACTTGTGGCCGCAGTGGATGTTTGCCGTACCTTCCTTCCAACAGCCAGTCCAGGCGCTGCTGTACGAGTTGGCGGCAGGCGGTGGTCTTGGCGTGCGCTTCCTTCAGGTCAGACACGTGCAGCGCCGCAAGCTCATCTTCATCGAGCTTGTCCTCGCTCTCCGCCTCCGCTTTGCCCCCATGTACATGCGTTCTTTTCGCAGCGCCCGTCTCATCAGCGTCGTCGTCGCCGGTGTCTCTGTCATCGTCGGAATCGCTGTCGTCGCTGCTTGGCGCCCCATGACGCTGTGGTAGGCGATTTCTGCGCCGCTCCAGCTTTGCCTTGTGACGCCTTGACAGGTGATGTTCAAAGGGCAGTGCCAGCTTGCCCAGACCATACTTCTCCAGCCACTCCTTGCTGGGTACACGCAGCTTCCACACGTCAGAGTCTGCCGCCTTCTGCAGGGTATGGCCTGAGCACAGAGGAACACAGCAAGGTGGGCGGCGTGGCGGCGTTTTGTGCTCGTGAGTGTACAGATGTGCGCGGCAAGCTGGATCAACAAAACAAAAAGGACACTCAGTTTGAAGGTGAATGGAGTTCAACGACCAGGAAATCTCATACGGGATGGGCTTTGAGACGCTGTGCCGTGGCGGCGTCCCCGTGGGGAGGGGGATCGTGCAGCCTCTGTGAACTCAAGCGTGAACCTAGATCACACAGGCAGGTTGAAAGATCAAGAGGCACGAGACGTGTGGGCATCAAGCAAAGCAAATGTACCCACGCTCATCTGTGCGCGCAAGAAGTGCACAAGCTTTGGCATGCATAAATTTATGCACACGCGCGAACGCAGACAGAGGCACAGAGAGAGAGAGAGACAGACAGACAGACAGACAGAGAGAGAGAGACAGACAGACAGAGAGAGAGAGAGACAGAGAGAGACAGACAGACAGACAGAGAGAGAGACAGAGAGAGAGAGACAGACAGACAGAGAGAGAGAGAGACAGAAACACACACACACACGCACACGCACACACATATGTTCACGTACGGCGGGCGCTGTTGCTGACGATGAGGCTTCTTTGCTTCCTCCTTGCGCGGTTCAGATCGGTGTTGACGGCGACCACGTACACGTTCACTGCTACTTGCTCCTGTTGCGAGCTCTCTCCTGCTCTTTGTGCTTCTCGTGCTCTTTGTGCTTGCACTGCCAGCGCGTTGTGCAGCTGCTGGCGGTCGTGGCATCGTGTGTGTGTCCTGGCGGTTTTTTCGTCGCCAACCACAACAAACAAACAAACCAGGTCGTGATTGTAGAAAGTTACAGTAAAATGTTCATGAATTTTCTTGCCAACCAGGACAGCGGTGATGGTGGTGATGGTGGTGCGGTTGTTCCTGCGCCTCGTGCGTCTCGTGCACACACACCGTCGGCCACCACGCACCATCCCCGCTGACTTGTGATGAAAGGCATTCAGATCAAGCCATCCGGCTTCCCACCCCTCTCTCAACACTGGCTCGCCACAAGTAGCCGTTCATGTGACGCACAGCCACACAAGTGATGTGATGTGATGTGATGTGATGTGATGTGACGGGCCTTCTTCTTCCAGGGCCTTGCTCTTGTTCACGGTGCGGTTACGGCTTGAGTGTGTATGTGAGTGGTTTGTTCTTCAGTTGGCGTACATCGTGTGTGGTTCTCTTTGGAAGACCGAGGGTTTGTTTGCTCTTCGGTTTGATGCAAACGCATCCCCTCAGTGGTAGGTTGAGTGAGCTTGTGGGAGCGCAGCCGCCAAGATGGTCATTCTTCCTGTTACCTCCTGTGGAGTGGTTCGTCTGTTTGGTCTGCTCAGCGAGTTTGTACCCTTCGATAGACAAGCGTCGGAGCGTCATGGACGCTCCAGACTCAGGGCTGTCGCCCCTGCACTTGCTACTCACCCAAGTGAGTCTGTAGGCGATGGTGTGCTTGCTGTTGCATGTGTTGGATCTCCGCACAGACGTTGTGGGCCGTTGCGCCGTCTGTGGTGTGGCCCAAAGCCCACTGTCTTGGTGAGCTCACCATGTTGTTTCCATCTTGTGTGCACTCCCTTCCGCAAAGGGCATTACAGGCATGCACCCGGGAGAACTGGTGCTACGTCTGATCACTCGTCCTGCCGAGTGGCCAAAGGTCAGCCAGAACGAATGCACAGTTGGCGTTCCTTCGCGAAAAAATGCGCCATGGTGTCGCATCCCAACACCGTTGTTTTGTTTATTCTGGCGGTTCTGTTGTGGTAGTTTGGGAGTTTGGCCGAGCACAAGAGGTGATTTGTCTTTACACTTGCGCTGTCAGGCAGTGGTCGTCTGAGGGCTATTGACTGCCGCATGCAGCTGTACCTGCAAACACGCATGCAACCACACACACACACACTTAAGCATGAGCAACCTGTCAAGTCCATGTACCACCTCCCTGCCTCTCCGTCGTTGTCACAAGCCTGCACGCCATTCCTCACCGCCACATATTCATGATGTGTTTGCCTGTGTTGGTACATTAGACAACAATACCGCTCTGGAACGCGTGCGTGTACGGCAGCCACCGGCTCATTGCCGTCACCCCTGAGTTTTTGGCCGCCGCAGTCATGGACGAAATAGGGGTGTGTTCAAACTTCTCATGCGTGCGTGTGTGTGTGTGTGTGTACTTAGAGTGAGTGTAGTGTGGTGTGTGTATATGTACTGAGAGTGAGTGTATTGTGTGTGCGAGGGAGTGAGGGAGCGAGGGAGTAAGTGTGTGTATGTGTATATGGCAAGGATGAACACGATTCAGAAGAGTGAATGAGTTAATGTGGCAACGAGTGTATGCGTGTGTTATGTAGTATCTGCGAGGTTTGTTCATGTGTTCTGACGTATATGCGAGCGACCTGTGTTGAGGGCACATGTGCGGTAGCGCCTGGACACCTGAACTCCACCAGCAACTCACACTGACGCACTGACCATCCGACACAGCCAGACGAATACGAAGAGGTGCTCTTAGGGATAATGGGAGCAATGGTACCAGAAGAACATCCTGAGAGCGCAAGAGGCTTAGTAATCTTGGTCAATCGCAAGTCCTCAGTCACAGCGTTTAGATCGCCAGAGGTATGATCGTGGTGTAAGGCACATTTTGACTGTTGTGGTTCTAGTAAGCCAGTGCGTTTCGATGCACGCTTGTCCTCTGCATTGCTGCTGTTGTTGAAAAAGGTACTTGGCGCCTTGCTTTGCTTCTGACTTTGACCACATTTTCAACTCTGCGCTTCCCGCCTTCCACTGTTCAATGCGCTCTCCTGCCAGGTGCATCGCCTTGCGGTCGAGCATGTTGCCCGTAACATGGCAACCGTCCGAGCCCGTGGCTTTGTGGAGGTCACTGAACCAGATGGAACGCCGGTGTTCGTGTTCTTCGCAATCATCGGCACATACGCGGACGAGCGGGGTATCCCCCTCCCGTGGGATTACTTCATGAACTGGAGGCCGGTGAGCTCTGTGTGTTGTACGTGCGTATATATACATGAATATTCATTTGCGCGCAAGCGTTGTTGTTCGTGTGCTGTGTGTGTGTGTGTGTGCGTGTGCGTGTGTGTGTGTGTGTGTGTGGCTGTACATGTATGCAATATGCTGGACGGTTGTACGGTTGTGTGTGTGTGTGCTTGTGTGCTTACATGTGCAAGCGTTGCCGTGCATCGGAGCACTGTGTGGAGCTGCACTCCTGTTTCGTGTCCTGCCGCTGCTGAGGCCTCACGTGCGCATTCCATCAGGTGACGGACAGGCCCACGCAGCACGGCGGGTGCCGGGGCTGCCGCGACTTCCGGCGCAGGCAGAGGCGCCTGCGGCAGGCCATAACGCGAGGACAGAGAGACAGGCAAAAGAGGCTGGGCCAGCCTTTGCCGCTGCCACCACCGACACCACCACAGCTGGAACTGCCGTCTTGGCAGAGAAGCACTGCAGCGCCTGCAGCCAGACTTGGTGTACAGCCACCACCGCCTCAGAACACACCTGCATCGTCCTCCCCCGACGACGGTGGGCCTGCTGCCGCAACCACCACCACCACCCCCCGCACAACCACCATCAGAACAACCACCACCACCATCACCACCGCCACCACTACGAACACCCCCGCCAGCGCCAGCAGCAATAGCAGAGCCGACGAGGGTCCGGCTGCCTCCTCGTTCTCCACCTCCTCCTCATCCACACGTCGCTAATTTCGCGGAAAAACCAACCTTTATTTTCTCATGCGCTGCATGCTCTGTGTGTGTGTGTGTGTGTGTGTGTGTGTGTGTGTGTGTGTGTGTGTGTGTGTGTGTGTGTGTGTGTGTGTGTGTGTGTGCCACAGACCGACCTTCAATAAACACTCCTGACAAGCAAGCGCGCTTGAAGGATGACAATCAATCAATCGCTTGCCAATCGGTTTTTCTGGTTCAGTTCAGCGTCCATCACCAAATACTCACACGAAACGAAGCCAAGCAAACTTCAACGGCTCATGCCACCGAGAGCAAGCAAGCGGTTCACTCCGCCTGTTGTGCACTGCTGTCGGCCACACTGCTCTCCATGATGGCTGGTGTGACAGCTCCGTCGTGCTGACCCGCGCGTGTCTGCAGATGCTGGAGCATCGTTCTCTCTGCGCCCTGCATGCTCACAAAGAACTCCTGCACATGATGTGTGCGTGTGCGCGCATGTGTGATTTGTGTGATGTGCGTATGACCAGGGGACCCCTGCACTCACTGTGCTAGACATCGGGTTGCATGGAGACGCTGCAGGGAACAACAGAACGCAATGCACATGGAGTACCACGCAGCAGCAGCAGCAGCAGCACAATGATGACAGACTGTCTTGTCGCCGCTGTGGCTCACCCTGAACGAAAAGTCTGTGGTGCCGTCAGCAGGGATGCACTCCGGGAAGCGCCGGCGAAGGTAGTTGCGGAGTCTCTTCTGCACAAATTAACCAAGGGGCCCCAAGGGAAGAAGAGAGGCTTTCGGTGATCAAAGACGGGATACAGGCTCATGCAACACGCCAAGCATTGGAGCGGTCACACACTCACTCACTCAAACACACACACACTCACACACTCACTCAAACACACACACTCACACTCACGCACACACTCCGCCCTTGCTCAGGAACATTGAGCCACGTACACTCTCTGCAAAATGGATGATCTGAATGCTTGCTTCCAAGTTATTCTGTGAAGCCGGATTCAAAACACACACACACACACACACACACACACACACACACACACACACACACACACACACACACACACACACACACACACACACACACACAAATACATGCACATACATGGGACCGCGCAAGCGAGCAAAGCGAATGAGTTGCTGGAACGAAAGCAGTGTGATGTGATGTGGTGTGGTGTGATGTGACGTGCTGCAGGTCGGTTCAACCACCGCGCAAAGCGAACCCAACCCACCTGATTCTCTTGATCTTCCATGGCGCGTTCTTGTGGTGAAGGCACATCTTCGTGTATTGCGTCATCCTCAGCGTCACTGCTTTTGTCCCCCGCGGGCTCAATCTTATCAACATCCCACGGCTCGAGCAGATGCTTCTCGCCATCGCTCGTCTGTAGGCGCACTCCTCCCCGGGCTGCACACTCCCGCTTGCTGTCATCCTGCCGATGACGATCAGGTGGCAACTGCTGCGTTCCCTGCACAGCTTCTGGCGACTGCTTGCTGTTCTTCTGTGTTTTCACCTTCTTCTTCTCCATATCCTTCATCTCCTCGTCCAGCGCTGCATGATCGTCCCGCATCTCAGGGTTCCTGCAACTTTTCGTTTCTCGAGGTGTGGCACGGGAACTTTCTTGCTCTCGACGTTGCTGGTTCTGTTGCTGCTGTTGCTGTTGTTCACCTTCCACGCCTTGGCTGTTTGCTTCAAGTGCCTTCGACTCCTGTCGCTCATTTTCAGCTCCGTACAATTGCTGTTCTCGGATGTCTTCAGCTTCTTCTTGCCGCCCTCCAATGCTCTCGTCGCCACTGTGACGCTCCTGCATCCTACTCGTCTTGCTGCTTGTGTCGGGACCAGCGCGTGTATCTTCTTGCAGAGCTGTGCCCGTTTCTGAGGCACCACCTGTGGTGGTGTTGCTACGTGTCGCGTGCGTGTGTGGTGGCTGTCCTCGGGTCGTTGTGGATTTAACAGCGGGCACCGCTTCACGCAGACTGCTGCTGGCGCTACCAGTGCTGCTGGTGCTGTTGCTATCAGCAGACGTACTGGTGGCGCTGGCGTGGCTGACGCCGCTGAGTTGTTCTCGGGTTTCGGAGGTACCACGCACGGTTGACGGCGACATGTGCGCGGAGAACGGTGTCACCCCACGCGTGCGAGCAAACGAGACGCGCTTGGAGCTGTCATCGCTATGACCGCGATTGTTGCTGTTGTTGCATGACTGCTTGAGGATGGATCGGAGGCCTTCTTTGCTGCTGATGTCATCCTCCTCAACAACCACTGACCAGCTGCTCTCGTGCAGTTCTTGCTGTGCTTGATGACAGGAGCGTTGCTGCTGGCCTTGCCCAATCGTGGGCGACTTTGCCTCTTGGTTATTGCTGCCATTTTCTCGTGGCGGCAATTCAACTGTCTTCCTTCTCTTCGGTGACGGGTTGCCTTTGTCCCCTTCACCTGCTGTGACTGCTTCTGCACCGGATGTTGCTGCCTGTGCTGCTTCTGTTGTGTCTGCTGCCGCCGCAGTTGTTGTTGTGTCTGCTGCTGCTGACTGCTCCTTCTCCTTTTCCACTGTTGCTTTTTCTCCGCTCTCCAACGACGTGCCTGCATCGGCGGGCACATCTTCGCGGTCACTAGCATGCGGGTGGTTTGGCTCGTGGACCCTGGCTCCGTCCACATCGCGAAGCAGCGTCTTGCGCACCTTCTTCATGGCTGCGCGCACACGCGGGCGCCCTGAACCAGTTTGCAGCAGAAACAGCCGGTGCGCACGAGTGTGAGGCGTTTGAAACACATACACACACACACAACGTGACACGAGCGTGCAACATGAACGTGCAACATGTGTGTGTGTGCGTGCGTGTGTGTGTGCGTGTGTGTGTTTGTACATATGCGTTTGTTTGTTTGTTTGATTGTGTGAGCACGCTTTTGGTTGTCTTGCCTGTCTTCTCCTCCTTACATGCATGAACCACAAAACACCCGTTTCTTCACCTTTTCTCGAGCGGGCCATTGGCGTGTGCTGCTGTTGGCCCTTGGATGATGACGGCGGCGGCTTGCTCGGAAACGCTGGGATTCTGTGGTGGATGCACAGTACCGCGGGCAGCACGGGCAAGGAGCAGCGTGGGAATGAATGTGCTTGGGTGTTTGCGGGGTCATATGTACTATGTGCTTGGGTGGCGAACAATACATGAGGATGCAAAAGGGGGGAGGGCAAAGTATGTGCGATCGCCACAAACGTGTGTTCACGCGTGGAATTCGCTCGAGTGGCAGCGGTTGGAATACGTCCGAAGGGGTGCCAACGGCAGGTGTAGGCCATGTCGCGCCCTTACGCTGACGTTTCCTGGTTGCGAACTTCGGCCTCCGCTTGTTCCTGTGACAAATCACAACATACCCTCGCGTGAGAATTGCATGCTTCATTGTCGCCGAGGAAAAATGACAGCAGACAATGCGACAGGGTAACTCTCGGCCCCCACCCGGCATCGTGACCACCTTGAAGCGCAGCAGTCCTTCAGCATTGATTGCCCGCTGCACGACCTGCCCATAGCACAGACAAAGCAGCGCGTAGATGTTGAGTAAACAAATCACACATGCGACAGGAAGTCTCGGACACGACGACTGGCACGACACGGCGATGGGGACGCCTCGTCCTTGCGACCTTGACTGGTCACGGCCATCACCGTGTGTCACTCACTGTGCAGCACCCACCTCCTCATATTTGGCCTTCCATTCGGCATGGTTCGATTGCAGTTTCTGTTCCAGGCGCTCGCAGCGGCGCAGCAGTCGGCCCACCGCCTCCTGAAACAAGAAACACCAGCATGAGAAGCAATGCGGTGGCGGAGGAAGGTGTGATTGCATCAAATGTGCTGCTGGATGATCACACCACTGGATGCAGTCTGAAAAAGACACACCCACACACAAGCAAAGCGCGCGCACACACACACACACACACACACACACACGCACACACGCACGCACTCAATCACGCACACAAAGCGCGTACACCCTCCCCCCCCCCACACACACAATCACGCACACACACGCAAAATACACCCGCAACACCGGCACAGCAAGCGCACATAATCACGCACCTCCTTTGCTTTTAGCTTTGATCTGCAAGACCTGAACTCAAACTTGAGCTGGTGCAGCTGCTCGTGTAGTTCCTTCACGTGTGCGTCCTTGGAGGCAACCTGCCAAGTGGTAGCAGCAGCAATATGCAACCAAGGCAGCCAGAAACGCATGGCAGCAAGGAAGGACCCTCGAGCTTCAATGCAAAGTATGTTGAGAGCAGGCGGTGGCGTGGATGTAGCAAGCACTCGAAAGCGTGTTCACGCGCAATCTATCCACCGCCCTAAGTGGATGAACGCATGCGAGCGTAGGGGCATATCGAACCTCGTCATGTAGTTGTTGCTGCAGCGCCTCTGTACAGGAGACACGCGCCAGTTTTCCTTCCAGCTGCTGTACCCTGATGGCGACAGGCGTCATTCATGACCCACAACAGTACACATAAACACCGCATCAGCAGAGTGGATCACACACATGTGCAAACAGCACACGAACACACACGAGAGCACACATGCATGTACACACCTGATGTGCTTCTCCTTGAGCGCGGTGGACAAGTCGGAGATGATGGATTCGAGTTCCTACAAGCAGCAGTCACGGGGGTTATTGCGAAGTGTGGTTGATGTGAAGGTGCTGGTGTTTTGTCAGATAATGCACTTGTGAGAGCTTGCGTGTGTGTGTGTGTGCGTGTGTGCGAAATTGAAGAAGCAGTCGGTTCCTGGTGACCTTTAGATGCGAGAGATTTAACACACAATACCTCCACGTTTGTTGTTTGTTCTTGCGCTTGCTGTAGGCGTCGTTTCGCCTCCTGTGTTTCGTGTGATGCCAGCGCACGCTGCTCAGCCAAGGTGTTTTCCAGCACTGACACGTTGTCGCGTGCAGAGGTCGCGGTGCATACATGTGAGAAGGTCTACGAGTGTGCTCAAGCAAGCGAGAGCAGATACCGGTTCACATATGATTTCAAACACACAACGCAACATGCAGCAGTGCGCGGTGTGCGGTGTTGTGTTACCTGCGAGTTGGCTGCGTAGCTCCTCGCATTCTGCCGTGTAAGCTGCGGCCTCCTGTTGGCGCTGTGCCAGCTCCTGCTTCGCCTGTTCGCGGGATGCAGCTTCCACCTCTCGCACACGCGCGAGCTCCTCCTCCAATGCGGACACACTCACCCTGCACACAGCAGCAGCAGCACAAGCCAGGGGGAGGGGGAAGGGTGACGACGGAACACGGTTGTGTACTCATCGTGAAGGTGTTGTGCTCAGCGTTGCAGGTGCGCGCCCGTGTCGTGTGTGAACGTGTAAATCAATAAATGGAGTGGTGTGCACAGCAGTACTCACGCTGATTGGGCCACTTCGGCTTTGAGCTGGTTGATTGTCTGCTTGAGAGTGTCGCTTTCCTCCTCAAGCTCAGCCTGACGGTGCAACGTGTGCTCCTTCTCCCTGAAAAACGACTCTTGCTCTTGAATCCACTGTTCAACTCAGAGCAAGCCAGGTTGAGTTCACGCAAGGCAGGGGGGGGGGGGTTGTTAATGCATTCAGGCCACATCCATTCATATCAAGCGGAAATACAGGCGCAACAGCCGAGCAGCAGCGGCAGCGGCGGCGGCGTTAGCGTTTGTGTCAAAAGGAAGTTGCCTTGCTCTCAGCACACGCACCTGCTGCATGGCGCTGTTGCTGTAGTCCAGTTGCTGCTGAGCAGAGTGCAGTTTCTCCTGCGCTTCTTGCAGCTCTTGCGTTCGTTCCTCAAGCTGATCATCGCACAAGATGTGGGCATGAGCAGCAAGCATTCAAAGTGGTGCAGATGATACAATCACGTTTGAGGCACCGACACACACCGTTTTGTGCTCGTGTGTGTGTGTGTGTGTGTGTGTGTGTGTGTATGTATGTGTGTGTGTGTGTGTGTGTGTGTGTGGTCCATTCAACACGCACCCCCGGCAATGCACGCGCGCACCTGCAACACACACACACACACACACACACACACACACACACACACACACACACACGCCAACAATACACACGCACGCAGACCAACCTCATGCTGGAGAAGCTTGAGCGAATCTGTGGGCGGTTGCGGCGGTTTGGAGGTGCCTGTGGCATCATTTGAGGTCGTTGTGTCTTGCTGCTGTTTCTGCTGCAGACGCTGCTGTTTCCAGCGGTGCTGCAACTCGGCAAGAGCGTCCCCGAGCCGAGTGTCGTCATCGAGCAACTGCAAACACATGACATGGTTATGCGACCACGAGGTGTGAGGGGCAGCGGTATGCCGCCACTGGTGCATTTCTCAACACATTAGAGGAAAGCGTGGGCAGGCAGACGAGTTTGCTCGCACTGACACAGTGTCATGGCACTTGCACGCAAGCTCGCGCAAGCTTGCACGGTTGAATGCGCATGCACACACAAGCACGCTTGCACAGCCTCACTTGATCTTTGACGGCCGTGAGGGCCTCGAGCTGCTGGTGGACATGTTCAAGGTCGCTCTTCACCCGCATGAACTCATCGCGCGCCTCCGCCCTCGCCGTGACAGACGCCTAGCCAACCATCATCATGTGGACACGGTTGGTTGTGATTGAGCCCACCAGACAGCCAGCAGCGTTGCAATGCCACTACAGACATCAAGGAAACCCCTTGGGTCATTAAGCACAGTACTGTCCTCCCTTCTTTCACGCACACACGCACGCACACTCACACACATCTGGCTGTTGCGTGCTGAACTTGTGCACTCAATACCTCCAGTTGCGTCGCCATGCGCTGCGTTTGTTGCTGTTGCTGTGCTTGAGCTTCCTCCCAGACAACCTGATGAAAGGGATGATGGTGGCGGACAAAGGACATGCTTTGAGAGGTGTCGTGACTCACGGCGAAGGGGAGAGGGAAGGTGGCACGAAAGCACACCTAAATACATGCGCAGAAGAAAGCGCAGGTACAAGCGCAGACGTATGTGCAGAAACAAGTGCGCAAGCGTGCGCGGAAGAAGAGAAGTCATCCAACAAAGGCAAGCAAAGAAACGACAACAACCATGACTGTCAATGCTCACGGCGAAGGCATCAAGTCAGACAGGGCATCAATGATGGGGGTTGGAAAAGCTGCACACCTGTTGCGCTTCGAGCTGCGTGGCAGAAGCGATGGCATCCTCCAGCTTCTTGCCGAGGCATTGCACGATGCCTTCATGTTGCAGCTGAGTGTGCGCCAGCTCCTGTCTGTATTCTTCCAGTTGCACCTCGTGCTGGTGTTCGCGAGACTGCAGGGCGTACTCGAGCTGTGCGACCCGCTGTCGAAGCTCCTTCGAGGTCCATGGCAGAGTCCAGCCGCAAGTGGTGAGTGCAATTGTGGAATCTCAGAGCACAGCCACGTGCTAGATTTGTTTCGCATTCTCTTGCGATCAACTCCTGTGCACGATGATCAGAGTACACGAGTACACTCCACTCATGTGTGCAGCACCGCATGACCGTATGCCATTGTCTCAACCACACATGCGCACACGTACACAGTGGCAAGCGTACTGTGTTTGCTTCTTGCTGTTGGCGCAGGTCTTGGTGGGTATCGAAGAGGCGCCGACGCTGTGATTCAAGCGCACAGTTGGTGTTCGAGGCCTGTTGGGCAAGCTGTGGAGCAAAAGGTTTGAGCACCAATGGTTGCAGCATCGGTTCATCACGCACACGCACGCGGCAAAGAGTTCAGAACACACAGAGGGACACACAGAGGAGCATACAAAACAACAGACACACACACAAATACACAGACACACAGAGGAGCACACAGAGGAGCACACAGAGGAGCATACAAAACAACAGACACACACACAAATACACAGACACACACACAAACAGAGACAAACAGACAGACGGATAAACACAGATGGATACCCACAGACACACAGACAAACACAGACAAACAGACACAGCCGGACAAACACAGACGGATACCCACAGACACACACACACGCACGCACACACACGCACACACACACACACATTGCGCGGGATTGTTGCGAAGCTCACTTTGGTGATGCGGTGCTTCAAGGCTGGCCAAGCTGAAGTTGGTCGCCCTGGTGTGCGAGGTGGCGTCGCTGCTGCCGGCACGCCTTCTTCTGACCTCGCAACCGTGGCCATGCTGCTCAATCAGCAATGGAAGCAAAGAACAACAAGCAAAAGCGCGTCGTGCTGGCGGTACACGCCTGCGTCACAGACGCCGTGTGTGGTGGCAGTGAACCTGATCGCACCAGCAACGCGCAGCAACACAACCAAGAACAACCGTCGTCGCAGTGGTGGTCGTAGTCAATAGGTCAATGCAAAGGCAGTGGATGCAACAGAACCGAAACATACAGGGAGAGGGGAAGAGAGAAGACCGGGTGAGTGACATGACATGATGTGCCAACGCACAAACACACACGCGCGCGCGCACACGCACATGGTGAGCGAGGGCAGGGGCAAACACAAACACAAACAGACAAACAAATCTCATGTCATCATCACACTGAACATCCGCATTTCAAAAGTTTTCCCGCCAAAGTACACGACAGCACAAGTACGGCGGCAAGTTGTGCGCAACAACGACAACAACAACCATGACGGACCGTGCGGTGCACAACGTGTTCAGTGGCGCATCGCTGGCTGTGGACAGGTGCAACAACGAGCGTGGAGATGCAGCGTTCTTGGAGCAGGCGTTGACCTCGGCGCGTGCACGCTTCCTTCCCTTTGTGAACCTGGAAGTGGTGGTGAATTCCACAAGCTCGGCAGCAGTGCCAAAGCTTGTCTGGTTGTCACGCCAACACCCAGCCATTGCCGCCCTGCTGGACAACTCCGCCAGCAGCAGCGACGACAAGCACTTCAGTCACAAGGGCTGTGTGCTTCTTGGCAAGGTCACGGATGCCACTGAACTTGGTGAGGAGGAGAACAAGCGACTTGTACCTTGCTTCAGCCACAACGCTAAACTGTCTGCGCTTCCACACATCAGCGCACATGCAGCCGCTCTGCCAGTCTCATGCAAATACACACACACACACACACACACACTCACACACACTCACACACACACATCCACCCACCCACTCTCTCGGTCGTGCATCTTGTGCTGATGCAGACAACGTGGAGGTGGGTGACTTTTTGTGGGCATTTCCGACTACACCGCAAACTTTGGCGGAGCACTCGTTCGGTGAGCGTGGCAACTGTTGTTTTTACTGCTGCTAGCGATACAGAACAGCCTGATTGGAATTACAGATTGGCATGTGCTGTCGTCCCTCTCACGCTCTGTGATCATTTTGACCTGGTTTCTTCATCGTCGCCAGGCGAGGCGGCAGCTCCGCTGAATGTTCGCACCTATGCTCTGAGCACGGCAACACGCACAGAGGCAGCCATCACTGCCCATGCAAAGTACGACTCTGTGCGTGTGTGTGTATGTGTGTGCAGTGTGCGTATGTATGTACTTGTGTGTGCAGTATGCAGTGTGCGTACGTGTGTGTTACAGACGTAGCAGCGTACCGCATCTGTTGCCTGCCCACTTACGAATGCAACTTCAAACTAGACCACATCACTCACCTGCCCCCACTCTGTCCCTCCCTCCCCCCATTACTTTGCCACGAAACAACGACAGGGCGTTGCTTGAGTTTCTACAGCGACACCGGTTCTGCGGGCTGTGTGGCAAGCGCGTTGTGGCGCGAAAAGGCGGCAGTGAGCTTGCGTGCGAGGCCGCACCAGAGTGCACGGGCCGGTGGTTCCCGCGCACGGACCCCGTCGTCATCATGGTTGTTGTCGACCCCGCCACCAACAGCGCGCTGCTGGCCCGCCAGTCGCGCTACCCGCCTGGCATGTGGTCTGCGCTGGCCGGATTTATGGAGCACGGCGAGTCTGCGGAGGAGGCGGTGCGGCGGGAGGTGCAGGAGGAGGCCGGCGTGCGCGTGGGCGCGTGCACGTACCACTCGTCGCAGCCGTGGCCGTTCCCGTACTCGCTCATGCTCGGGTTTGTGGCGCAGGCGACCACCACGGACATCACCGTCGACCCGAACGAGCTTGAGGACGCGCGATGGTTCACGCTGGCGGAGGTGCAGGCGATGCTGGAGAACAGCGGCGGCCAAGACGGCCTGCGCACCCCACCGAGCGGGGCCATTGCACACCAGCTCATGCGCCACCACGTCGCAACAGCCACGGCACAACAGCAACAGCAGCAACAACAGCAGCAACAACAGCAGCAGCCCATGTCCATGCTGTAATCTATCGTGGACGCGCGCTATTTGCCCCGTGCATGCGTGTGTATTGTGTAGAACGCTTCGAAGACGTGCTGTGCTGTCTTGGACTGCTTTTTTTTTTTTTCACCCGCGTAAGATGATGTCTTGCATCAATCCACCAAACCAGATACGAATTCACACATGTTTACACCTGTGCCGCACACGTGGTTTAGTTTCTCTCGAGCACCTGCACGCCAGTAAATTAACCAACAGTCGCACTCAGCGGCCATAACGTGATACGATTGCGGACCGTGTAATGTAAGCCAACCAATCAGTCACTGTTCCAGATGCAGTATTGAAAATGTCTTCCTCCGTTGTACATACACACACACACACACACACACACACACACACAATACACACATGTCCACACTTTGCCAGAGTCACTGTGTGTGGGCAATGTCTGGGTCTGAGACGACGACGTTTTGTGGCAGCGGCTCGGCTCTGCGGAGGCGCCATCCAAACTCCCGCGGCTCCGCGTTCAGCTTCTTCTCAAAGTACTTGACAACGTGCTGCAAAGGAAAGAAAGGGGGTGCGGCGACCATGATCAGGTGAATGGAGCCAGAATCACGATTGTGGAGAGAGACGTGAGTGTGTGTGTGCGCGTGAGAGAGAGAGTGTGTGTGTGTGTGTGTGACGTGAGTGTGTGTGTGTGAGAGAGAGAGTGTGTGTGTGTGTGAGAGAGTGAGAGAGAGAAGCGAGACCAAAGCGTTAGCGGCTGATGCCACAGCCGAGCTACTGAGGGATGCTGGAGCGATTGATCAAGCGAGCAAGCAACATGCAGCCACACACGCACACACACACGCACGCACACACACACACACTCTCTCTCTCCCAGTCGCCCTTGCGCTTGTCGCATAAACAGCACGCTAAGCAAAGACCCCTCAGGGGTCAACTCAACTCACCTGAACTGTGTCAAGCTTGGACACCATGTTCATGTCCACATGCTGGTTGAATGCTTCCTCGCACTCTGCAAGCAGCTGTGGGGGCGTTGCACACAGCACAGGCAGACAATGCATGCAGGAAGTAAAGGTGTCAGCAAACGCACACACGTAATGACTCAGGTGGCCCAGAAATGCAACAGCAAAAGATGAGCAGTCCACGTCACTTGCACATGTCATGACTGCCGTGCACCCCACAACACGTACCAAGTACTTTTCGCGCAGCGATGACAGCCTTGTCTTGTCGCTGATTGAAGAGCCAGCACTTGACCTCAGGGATGCTAGTCGCTCCTTTACAAACACATCCACAGACTCGGGCACCGCCTTTGTTTCCACACCCCTGTTCAACAGAGCACATCAAGAGCGCGTGAGCTAAGGCAAGCGTGCACACACTTGCATACTTGCGCGTGTGGGGCAGGAAAGTGTTCACGGATGAGGAACCAAGGCATGCACAAGCCTGTTGTCAACAGCATGGCAACACCAACACACGAGCGCCATCATACACCTGCAGTCACCAACAGACCACGGCACTTCACGCACTTGAAGGCTTCTCCGGCAGGTTGCACGTCTTGGGGCTCAGCCACCGCATCCTGTGTCTTCTCCTTCTTCTCTTCCTCCTGGCTTGGTTTCAAGATCTTGGACCAAATGCTCATGCTGTGTTGCGCCAAGATTTGGGTAGTAGTAGGAGCAAGCGCAGGCATGCCTGTTGCTGCTGTTGCCGCCGCCATTGACCCTGTTCTGCTTGCATGGCTTGCACGCGACACCAACCCTTGTGCCACCACCGTCGCCAGCCGCCTCGCTGCCATCTTCGGTGTGCACGTTTTCAAGAAGGTGTTGAATCTTGTTGGAAAATGCCCACAAATCTTCACAACTCACCTCTGTGCCTAATTTTAGTGGATTGTCCTGTTAAAAGGATTTGGTAGTGGTCCTGCGACACCGCTGACCTGATGGCAGTGCTGGTGGTTGTGGTTGTGGTGGCTGTGTTGGCTGTCACAGCTGGTGCAGCCACAGCGAAAGCAGACCCTCCGCTAATCAAGTGGTCGCAGACGGCTCAGGCCTTGAAGCTTCACATCACTCACAGCTGCCCTACCGCTCCCACGGCTGTCTTTGAGCGTGCAACCTTGCTCCTCACGTGTTCCGATCTTGAGGTGCGTCCTTGTGTTTGTGTTGTTGTTTGTGTTGTTGTTTGTGTTTGTTTGTGCATGTGCATGTGTGTGTGCGTGTGTGTGCGTGTGTATGTGCATGTGTGTGTGCGTGCGTTTGTGTATGTATACGTGTGCATGCGTGTGTGCATGTGCATGTGCATGCTCGTGTGCATACTTGTGTGTGTTTGTGCATGTGCGTTTGTGTATGTATACGTGTGCATGTGTGTGTGCATGTACATGTGTGCGTGTGTGTGTGTGTGTGTGTGTGTGCCACACTGCGTATCTCCGCCTTCTTTCCGTACGCTGTTCATCGACGCTACACACGATGTGTGCAGGAAGCTGGAATAACGCTGGAGCTGCGCGAGGACATTGTGGCTGAAAAGTCCGAGTGCCACCCGGTCTCAGCCACGAAATTGTCCTGCAGCCTGACCAAAGAGATACCTCACGCCTTTGACCGCCTCGAAGAGAACCCAACGGCATTCTCAGGGTAAGGTCAGCAATGGGTGTATGGAGCCCCCCCCCCTTTTTTTTTGCATGCTCAAGTTTCACTGGCGTGCATTGTGGGTGTGTGCAACACTTTGTACATGTTCCAACTCGAGAAAGCGCGCTCGTACCTTCGTATAGCTGCTTTTGCGCTCGCATGCATGCTTGTACACTTACATGCACGTGCTCACACTCGTATACGTGCGTTTTCACTCGTGGACAACTGCGCTCGTGCCCCGTGACTGTATGTTGCAGGCGCATCGTTGTGGACTGGGAGAGCTTTGATGACAGCCTCATTGACGAGACAGAGAGCGGGGAAGACGCAGGTGTACTGTATGCGGACACCCGCGTCACGCCGCTGTCCACCTCGGTGCTGCAAGCGAACCCGAGCTTTGTTGTGGTGGACGCCGATCTTGGTTGGTGTCGTGCGTGCAATCCAGCGAGAAGGGCATTTGTTAGGGTTGCTCGGCGCTTCCATGAGCAGCGGGATGACGTGGTGTTCGCCCATGTTGACCTTGTGGACAACCGGGCATTGCGCCACAGCCTCAACAAGACGTGTGACGGCCAATGTGTGCTGCACATCTACAGCCGCGACACGTCGCAGGTACAGTTTTTGGCATGTTTTGTGCGCGTGTGTGATGTGCGCGAATGTTATGTGTGTGTGTGTGTGATTTGATATGTGTGTGTGTGTGATGTGATGTGATGTGATGTGATGTGATGTGATGTGATGTGATGTGATGTGTGTGATGTGATGTGTGCGAATCTACTTTGCACATCCTTTGAACACCGTTGCGCTGAACATGCTCACCCTCCTTTCCACCAATCGACGACAACAACAACAACAACAACAACAACAACAACAACAACAACAACAACAACAATCGACGACAACAACAACAACAACAACAACAACAACAACAACAACAACAACAACAACAACAACAACAACAACTTAAACAACAACAACAACAACTTAAACAACAACAACAACACACACACACACACACATGTGCAACCGCTGGCTTCGCCACAGCCGCGGGCCATCTCGTTTGATGATGAGGAGGATGTGCTGTACGAGCGCGTGTCGCTGTACACATCTGCTCCTTTCAAGGACTTCTCATCCCCCGCGCAGGTCTTTGATTCGCTCATCGAGCACAAATCGTCCGTTCCCGCGCCGTGGCAAGGTGCGTGTGTGCGTGCATGTGTGCGTGTGTTCGTCCGTCTGCCTGCGTGTTCGTCCGTGTCTGTCTACCTGCGAATCCATTCTCCCTGCTGCCTGTCTGATTGTGACTGCGTGTGCAGAAGCGCATAACCGTGTACACTTGCTGTCTTTGTACCACATAACCTCACTTTCCCGCCATCACTCACGCTGCCCCAACATGCAGAGCGCCGAAAGACTGTTGCAGTTGTGGGCGTGTTTGGCAGTGCTGATACTGCACACAAGAGCGCCTTCACGCAATGGGGTGCAGCCAACGCCACACGCGAACTCTTCATCCTGGGTCTTGCCACCAGCGTTTTCCATGACATTCAGGTGCGGTTGTGTGTGTGTGTGTGTGTGTGTGTGTGTGTGTGACACATCCCCAGTTTGTGTGGAATCTTGCATCCACACTCACACACGCACGACTGCGCGACCCCGCCACGTGCTGACTCCTCTGCGCCCGTCCAGCCGCCCGCGGTTGTTGTGTTTCGCAGCGAAGATGGCGACTATGAGTCGCTCTCCGGTGACGCCATTCTCTCCACCAACCTCACGCACTGGGCCCTCATCAGAACGTCAGAACGTGCCACCTGCTTTGTGTGTGTGTGTGTGTGTGTGTGTGTGTGTGTGTGTGTGTGTGTGTGTGTGTGTGTGTGTGTGTGTGTGTGTGTGTGTGTGTGTGTTGCCATGTCTGAGCTTGGGGTTCCGTCTAGTTGCCCTTCACCCCCAAACTGACCTGTCCGACTTAGTTGTCTGCTTCCCCATCCTCGCTTTCACATCAACAGAAACAGCCAACAACAGCTTTCCACCACCACCACCACCACGAATCTCTGTGTGTTGATGTCCGATGTTACACTCTCCCCGCCCTGTTGACCTCCCCTCTCTGCTCTCTGCCTTGCACTGCGTGTCATCAGGCTGCCGCCTGTCGTCAAGTTCACGTGGACGTCGCGCGAAACACTCGAGCGCTCTGGTCTTCCTGTTGCCCACCTCTTTGTGCAGGTAGAACCAACGCTGGTGCTGGTGCTGGTGCTGGTGGTGAAGACTATGATGACGTGTGATGATGACTCAAGGCATGGTGTTCGTTGCTGTGGCCGTTGCTGTGGTCGTTGTTGTGGTGAGGGTGGTGGCGATTATCAGTTGTTATAGTGCTGGGGTGACAGATTCAAAGTAGCACATGCAGACAGGCTTGTTCGACCTGTTCTCCGGGTTTGGTTCACAACTCACGTCGACACACAAACACGCACACACACACACACGTGCATGCATGCATGCACGCACACACGCTGGCTCATCGCCTTTTCCTCTTTACGTGCGTTTTATGTTGCAATAGGACGCACAAGCAAAGCAGCAGGCACGCGCTCTCTTGCAAAGCGTGGCTGCAAGCTACCGTGATGCAATCACCTGTACATATGTCACATCAGAGTTTCCAGAAATTCGCGACGACTATGGTTTGTTTCATGCTCATGCACCTTTCTCACCAAATGCTTTCATTCTTGATGGTGAACCAGTGCGCAACTCACTCATTCCGGATATTCCATGCACATCTGTGTGTGTATGTACATGTGCATGCGTATGTACATCTCCGCGCGCGCGTGTGTGTGTGTGTCTGTATGTGTGTGTACACGTGTGTGTGTTTTGTTTGTTTTGTGCCTCTGCAGGCATCCATGAAAGTTCCCTGCCCGCGTTTGGCATTGCAGAGAACGCCTTCCCACAAAGCGCTCGCTATCCCCTTATCACGAAGAGTTTGACACAAGCAGAGGTGTGTTCTCTCATGACGTATGAACTCGTGCACGCTTGTGCACTTGCGTGCTTGTGTGCTTCTAGCTGCGTCTGCGTCGACGCCACAACCACCACCCGCCATCACCATCCTGGCCCGCTATCGCCAACCACTCCTTCGCAGGTTGCCGGCTTCGTGTCGCGGTTTCTTGCGGGCGAACTGACGGCAGCGCCCAAGACAGAGGCAGGCGACACGTCGTTTGAACCAGGACACTTGGCAAAGGTTTGGGCTGTGTGGGGTGGGTCAGAACACCTTCCTGCGCTGAAGTACACATGCTGTTGTTGTACCGACCCAATACGCCCCCAGCTTGTCACCACACACACACACACACACAAACACGTATGCACACATACACATGCATACACACGTACACACGTTCACACGTCAACACACGCACATTCTGTTGAGTTCAGGTGTCTCTGCGTACATTTGAACCGTTTGTGGATGGAGATCGAGACGTGCTGCTGTTCTTCTGCCACGAACTTCACCCGTCTTGGCAGAGGGCGCGTGCTATACTGCAAGAGGTGAGCTGTTGACTTTGGTGGAGGGGCGTTGAGTGCAGGACGTGCACGCATGACCCCACACTCACTCACTCACACACACACACACACTCACTCACACTCACTCGCTCACACTCACTCACTCACTCACACACTCTCTCTCACGCACACTCACTCACTCTCTCACGCACACTCGCACACACGCGCTAACGCACACTCGCACGCACACTCGCACGCGCACACTCTCTCGCTCACTCACTCACTCACGCTCACACTCGCTCACTCACACACTCGCTCGCACAACTTCAGACTGCACACGTGCTGTCGGCGAGTGGCGCGATCATCGGTGTGTACAACATTGGCGGGAATGCGCCCCCGCCGGGTCACGGCCAGCGCTTCAACGCTGCCAACCTCAAGGGGTTTCTCTGGACCCACACCATGGACCACACTGCCCGACCAAAGGTGCGCGGGAAGGGAAGGAGGCAGGGGAGACGGGGAGGGAGAACTATCGTGCCGTGTTGTGCGTTGTCGCCTTCTTCCTCCACGTGCGGGCTCTGTCAGTCCGGTATGGCTCGACAGCGATGGCGTCCTCGCGAGATGTCCACACTTTGTTTCGCTTCACATCCGCCCCCTCCCAACTGTTCTTTTTGCTGCGTCCCCCCTCTTCCTCACCATTTCCTTCCTCCTTCTCCCTCATGTTTAGGCGTACACGGGCTCCATCAAGCGCTCTCGCATCCTCAAGTGGCTCAAGGCGAATGTGCCCGCGGTGAAGAAGACTTGGGCTCAAATCCAGGCAAACGTCAAGGAGTTGAAAGCGCAGGTGCGTGTTGTCAGCCAAACACAAACCCACGGGTGTGCAAGCGTACAACACCAAGTTCATTGGACGCTCGTGTCCAAGTATGCGTGTGGCGATTATGGCTCTTGAAGTTTTGTGGCGCTCACTTGCGCCTGCGTGCTCTGTGCCAGCAGACGGGAGAAGAGAAAGCGAGAAAGCGGGGCGTATTCCAGGAGTTTGTGGACCAGCTGTCCCACTTGAGCCACGTGAGCAATTGGCATCTCCATCACGCATGCGTCCGTACATGGCATCACGGTTCTGTTTGTTCCGCGGGCAACGCACCAGATTTCCTTGCATCATGATCAGACGTGCGTGCGTTGTTTGTTCTCGTCGCCACGCTCATGCATTTCGCATGCTTTTGTTCTGGTGGATGGGCGCAACAACAGGAGGCCTTGACGCAGGATGGCGGGGTTGTCAAGCACGTCATCCACCCTGGTTCCGGCAAATTCCTCACCCCAGGCTCCACAATCACCGTCCACATGATTGGATCGCTGCCCAATGGCACGGTCTTCGAAAACACCATGTGGGTTGTGTTCCCATACATGCTGTGTTGTGTGTGCGAGTGTATGTACGTATGTATGTATGTATGTATGTATGTACGTATGTATGTATGTATGTATGTATGCATGTATGTATGTATGTATGTATGTATGCATGTATGTATGTATGTATGTATGTATGTATGTATGTATGTATGTATGTATGTATGTATGTATGTATGTATGTATGTATGTATGTATGTATGTATGTATGTATGTATGTATGTATGTATGTATGTGTGTATGTATGCATGTATGTACGTATGTATGTATGTATGTATGTATGTATGTATGTATGTATGTATGTATGTATGTATGTATGTATGTGTGTATGTATGTATGTATGTATGTATGTATGTATGTATGTATGTATGTATGTATGTATGTATGTATGCATAAACATGCGTGCGCCCCTGCCTGTGTGCCCCTTCTTTGCATCATACTCATTGCCAACGTCTCGCTGTCCCATGCCCTCGTGCTACCGTCATGCACCGCTGTTTCGTGTGAATCAAACAGGGACGACGGTGTGCCCTACATGTTCAAACTCGGCACGGGCATGGCGATCCGCTGCTGGGACATTGGCGTCTCCAGCATGTCGCTCGGTATGCAAAGCGCTCTTGCTGATTTGTGCTGTGAGCGATTGCGCGTGCATTGTGTGTGCAAACATTTCCTTTGTATTAGATCGAACACACACACACACTCACACACACACACACTCTCTCTCTCTCTCTCTCACACACACACACACATACACACACATACACACACACAACACACAACACAGGTGAACGAGCGTACATTACGTGTGACAGCGAGTATGGGTACAGCAAGGTTGACACGCCGAAAACTATCCCGCCGCACTCGCCCGTGCGGTTTGAGATTGAAGTGATTGAATCTGAGCCTGCGCAACGAGAGGAGCTTTGATGTATGATACCCATCATCCCGCTCTGTGGTTCACCGTGGCAAGGGCGGTATCCGTCCGTGGCAATTGTCTCATCATCCTTGCTCGTCGTGACAAGCTTCACCTCCTCCCAGAATAGGAATTGCTTGCCTTGGTTGATGTGTTTCCTGTCATGTTATGTGCGGCAGAGGTATATTTTGGCAGTTACGCTGCTTGCGTGCTTTCCTCGGCTTGCAGCCTTCTTCCTCTTGAGTTACCAACATCAACGCCCCTTCAACCCCAGCAACTGCGTGGGTTACGCGGAATGCATCAGCGTCACTCGAGGCAGTACAGCGCGTGGGTGCTCGCATGAACCAGCCCACTGACATCAAAAGTCCACGTTACACTTGAAGGGAACAAACTGTGAAGTGAGTGGGGCTTGCACGAACAAACACGCAAGACATAAAACATGTTCAGTGCACCTCACGCCGACAGCCACATGAACCCAAGCACATAATGGTGAATCGATGATCAAGTAACGCTACACGCAAAAAGTCTTCGTGTGGTAATGGAGAAGGGTAACCAACGACACACAGCGCGAACAGTTGACACTAACAATGAAACCAGCGGTCACAGGGCTTGAATGGGCTAAAGGCACATGTAAAGTATTTGCTGTGGCTTCTGCAGTTATGGCTGGGAGGCGCTGCCGTTTGGCGCTTGGTACGGCTCGGGGGGAAGGTAAGGCTGCTGCTCCGTCGTGTACGAGTTGGGAGCAGACGGCAGCTGGGGAAGGGCCTGTTCCTCCTGCTGCTGCTGTTGTTGGTGGTGTTGTTGCTGCTGCTGCTTGCTGGCGTCGTCCAGCAAGGGCAGCTGTGATGGAAACGCGTCCTCAAACGAGGGGTTGTGCTGCGGTTGCTGCGTGCCACCCGGGACTGCGTGTGACGTCTGCGTGTCCACGGCTTGCGAGCCGACATTCCCTTGGATAGCTGGCTGTCCGTACGGTTGCAGTTGCTGGTGCTGCTGGTGCTGCTGTGGTGGTGGTGACAGTTGCTGGTGCTGTTGTGGCAAATGCTGATCGTGCTGGTGCCCCGCTGCTGTGTAAGCGACGTCATCGTACGTGAGCGCGGATGTCAGCTGCTGGGACACAGGCTGCTCATATGCAGCCGACACTTGTGACTGGTGCTGCTCCTGGTACTGGTCAGTCGGCGGGTACGATGCAAAGGGGTCTGTGCTTTGGTTGTATGCGGTCTGTGGCTCAACAAATGCAGACGTTGAGGCTGGGGGCACCTGCTCATACGCGTGCTGCTGCTGATGAAACTGCTGCTGCTGCTGCTGCTGCTGTTGCTGTTGTTGTTGTTGTTGTTGTTGTTGTTGTTGTTGTTGTTGTTGTTGTGTGTGTGTGTGTGTGTGTGTGTGTGTGTGTGTGTGTGTGTGTGTGGTGTCGGTCAATATGATCCATTTGTCGTGAAGAACCGGCCAACCGAAAACATGACAGCAAGAAGCATGCGGTCGTGGAACAGTGGACGAATGACTGCACCTTGCTCGGTGACGGTGTTCGCCTTGACCTGAAGCGATACGTTGTGCAACACGGCCAAGCTCGCCCTATTGATGAAGTTCACAACAAGCAAGTTTGGAGGGATGGCTCAGGTGTGAGGAAACGTGCGAGACAGCACGGAGCAAGGCCAAGACAATCAATTAATTGCTCGTCACTGGCGTACCTGACTTCTTCAAGCATGTATATTGCAGGCACTTGTCCGGCACCGTCAAGCGTTGTGAGGTTGTATGCCGTGTGCGACAACTGCCCCAGCACCGACATGTATTTGGTGTGTGCACGCACAGATACACACACGCGCGCGTGAGAACACAAACACCGCGCAAGCACGCCAACATGTGTGTGTGTGCGTGCGTGTGTGTGTGTGTGTGTAGCGGATGAGTGAAGCACCTCATGCGGGACGGTGTTCCACACGAGCGACGTGAGTGCATCCAGGTACTGGCAGTGCTGCACGGGCTCATCAACAACCTGAGGCGAGCATGATTAATGGATGACATGCATGCATCTTGATCAGCGGATAGCGACATCCGCACGCATCAACATGCCCACGCTGCACACACGAACAAGAGCAATGACAACAGTCTCGCACGCGAGCACGTATAACCCGCTTACAAAGACGAACATGCAGATGTTAAACGGCAAACGCGACGCGCACGCACCTGGAGAATGTGTTCTCGCAGTTTGTGCAGTCGCGTTCCGGCTGTCGGAAAGTCGAGTAGGAGTTTGATGCCGTAATCGTTGCGCATCAGCTGATTTGCGGGCGCTTTCAGGCTCCTGTCGGTTTGGTTGGCGATATGGCGGTGTATGACGTGATGACGCGATGATGTGGTGGTGTGTTAACGGATGAAACAAGGTGAAACAGGGTGGCAGGTCATGAGAAAATGCAAGGGTAGACGCACGGCGTGTTGACAAGCACGAAGCAACACAGACAGACACACAGACACACAGGCACACACTCACAGACACCCATGCACACACAGACACCCAGACACACAGAGCATGCACGCACAGACACACAGAGCATGCACGCATACAGACACACAGAGCATGCACACATACAGACACACAGAGCATGCACACACACAGACACACAGAGCATGCACACACAGACACACACATCGACACACAGACACACACACAGAGCATGCGCAAACGCACACGCAACATGCACATGAACGCGCCGTACCTTAGGCCCGTGTGCAGGGAGAGGCCAGCGAAGACGGGGACTATGAAGAAGCCGGCCAGGCTGGCGTCAAGCTTCTGTGCTCCCGCGTCCCCGAGAGGAGTGTTGCGGCTTGAGTAGAAGGATTTCTGCAGCAGAGCACAAGACCAAGCCAGGGGTGAATATGGGTGGGTAGGATCGAGGAGACAAGCGATGCACTGGAAGTGGGGTGGGAGTGTGTGGCAGGCGCGAGCGTTTGAGAACCC